TTTAGTCCAAGCGGTGCTTTTCTATCACACAAAAGGCCCAAAGCATTCCTCCACTTTAACCAACCAACTTGAATTCTACTATTAACAACCACATCTATACCACCATCGCTTTGAACAACAGACTCCAGATATCTAAATCGTTCACACCTTTTAATAATTTGATCACCCAAAGCCACACTTCTATCACTAGAGCTACTACTACTACTAAAATTACATTCCATGTATTCAAATTACATTCTGTATTCAATTTTAGTTCTACTTAAATGATGGCCTTTAGACTCCAATGTAGTCCATAAGAGTATATATATCTAAGAAAATTAAATTTAGTCCTTGAATCCTAAATACATTGAAATGGAGTAGTATGGGTACATAAGGGTATAAACAAGCCAAGCTTATACATGTGTTGGTGCTCGAGTCATTCATTCATTTATTACTTTTTGAAATTGATCTGTGTTCGAAATGGCTCATGAACAATTTAACGAGTTTTGATCGAGAAAAATAGTTATACTTATGTTTAGATTATGTTCGAGTCAAATTGACTTTAAATTAATTAGAAATTAAAGATATGATATTGAATAAGAACATACACCATTTATATGCAATAAAAAACACAACATCAGTTGACCCCACCCCACAAGCTATGATGATTTAAATATAAATATAAATATACATAATATATTATTTTAAAAATAATATATATATAGTTTTTTATTATTATTATTTCAAGCTAAAATGAGCCAGAACACACGATTGAACAAAGGGCTATAGTGTTCAGCTCATTTATAATTCGAGCCCAAAAAATAGATCGTATTCAGCTTGACCGCTTAACGAAACGATTCAAACAAGAATTACTTAAGAGAGCTGAACATCAGCTAACGAGTTTTCTTACAGCTGTATGTATATGTAAGTAAGACTTCCTGTATAAAATTGACTACTTTTAAACTCACGGTCGGCAGGAATACTGCAAATATATGAATTGTCTAAACTGAGGCCCACATGGAATATCTACACATGCCGATATTTCATATTTTGTCATTAAAGTCATCTATGAGGGGTCCATATGGTTCTGCACAGACTTTACTAATTTGATCCTCAATGACCCACAAGTCTTAAGACTTAGAGATGAACAAATCTGAACTCTCAGGGTAGGGATGTAAGTAAGCTGAACTAGTTTCATCTTAGCTCGTTAAAAAGCTCGTGAATCGAGTTTATTGAGCCACAAGACTAGATCAAATTTAATTTTGTTTATTAAACAAGCTCGTCTCTCAGGGTAGGGATGTAAGTAAGCTGAGCTAGCTTCAATTTAGCTCGTTAAAAAGCTCATGAATCGAGTTTATTGAGCCACAAGTCTAGATCAAATTTAATTTTGTTTATTAAACAAGCTCGAGTTCAGGTTCGTCAAGGCTCGGTGGAGTAACATTGGAATCCCTCATTGATATAAATATTAAAAATGAAGGTGGAGATTGAAAGCATGGAGGGAAGATAAGAGAACAAGGTAATATACACAATCTCATGGTGGGAGGCTATACCCTTAACTATTATGTCATGGGTAAGTTTGATTATGAATATTACTATTATATTACAAACTTCACATCTAAATTTTCTTAATTACACTCACACCCAAAACATCATATTAGGCTAAAAAATAACACCTACCCCATTAGAAATAATAACACTGTTATCAAAATCTGTCGTCCCCACCACATATCGTGTGACCGAACATAGAGCGACACCATGTCCAGTCTACCCACCACTTTTCCTCATTGTTTGTAATAACTGTAAGTTAAATATATAAAACAAACAAATAAATAAAAATATTACTAATAATAATAATTGAATAGGGGTGTATCTACTTTTTGGACTTAGCAGTCATATGCCCTCTTCAAATAGAGAGAGCAAGAAAAAGAATAAAAAGCTCGAGAGTGGAAATAACTATCATGGAGGCATCAACATAAGCTTTTACAAAGGTCTTCTAAGTCAAAGAAGATTAATTATTTTCTTGTAAATTAAAGCTTCATTAAACAAAAAACTGCATTATTGATTCATATATCATGTTTCATAATCAGAGGCATAATATGAATCAAAGAATTATTGAAATGAATGAAATGTAAATGAAAAAAAGAAAACAGTGGTTTCAATAACCTTAAATGAAAGTAATTAGAAGATATGAAATGTAAGGGTTTGGGTCAATCAGGATTACTCCTAGATGATGTGATGTGCTCGTGAATGTAAAATAAAATTGAAAAAATAGATGTAACTTAAGGTGCAAATTTGTTAGAGTAGCTACGAGTACAATTTTGAAGATACATTCGGTGTGACTGTAATCTTGATGACTTCTTAAAGAGACTAAAAAGAGTTAATCCTTAAATTGAAATGAAAAGGGAAATTTAAAATAAAAGCTTACCATTATATTAAGTAATATACTATACTTCTTTTAATCATTCATGCATAACATTTACATATGCATTTACTGCATAATAAGATTGTAATTGCTTATTAAGTCGTGAAAACTTACTGTTGAACTTAATTGTTTCTTTCAGAAAAAATTATAGTTTGATATTTTTGACAAAATGAGTTTAATTTACAGGACTACAATGAATAGGAAATTATTTTATGTTGTGATTGTATTTTTCTTTTTGTATTGTTTTCTTATGGATAGTGATACTTTTATATGTTGCATAAGAGGTTGTCTGCAAACTACGTATTGTCTCTATAATTTAAAATTTTATTTGAAATATTTTGTGGTTTCTTAATTGCTCTTTTATATATTGAAAGTAATGAAAACCAGTGAACCTCAACTGCAGATTAATATGTCTGACATGATGGATTTAGTTTTTAGGACGATGACTATAGCTGATATGTATTATTTTATGATTTGATTATATTATTCTTTTTATAATGTTTTCTTCAAGATAGTGATATACAGTTATATGTTGTATCAGAGATTGTTTGTAGACTATGTTGTTATTTATGGATGATTTAAATTTTCATTTAGAATATTTTGTGGTCTCTTAATGGTTGTTAATCATGAAAGTCTGAAGAAAGTAGATTAAATATTAATACTGTCTGATTGAGTTCCTGACTTAGTTAATGCTAAGTTAACACGCAGGCTCGTGACAGTGTATGCTTTAGGAACTACATAGTCGCAAGTAAAACCCTACCTTCATTGTTTCCTCACTATTTGATTTTGATGATTGCTACATGCATTATAATTTTAATTTTTGTCATATTTTACCGTCTCTTCTTTAACATATATAATCAATTTCAATATTTTTTATTTAATGAGCTTATCAACATGTTTATTAGTACCTAATTTTAGCAGCAAACTCATTCATATTTTACCGTCTCTACTTTAACATATATGATCAATTTCAATATTTTTGTTTAATGAGCTTATCAGCATGTTTATTAGTACCTAATTTTAGCAGCAAACTCATGTTCCTAACAAATCATTAAAATAAAGATTATTGGGACTAGAAGAGTTTGTCATGCCAGCAGCCGAGCCAAACATAAACTAATTTCAAACAAATAAAAATAAATAAGCAATAAACTTAACTCGATAGAACCATTCTATTTATATATTAACCGATTAATAACTCCATCTTTGGCACTGAGCAATGATGATCTCATACATAGGAGGGAATATCGTCGGTTTGGTTACAATATTAGAGATGAACTAGTTGTCTCATTCGAATTGTAGAAGTAGAGAAAGGGAGCGAGTGTTGAAGCGGAGAGGAACGAAAAGGTTGTACTCTTCTATTACGCATTTTGGTTAGAAATCATCTTTGGAAATAAAATCTTTTAGGAAACGTTGGTCAAGCCAATTAAAAAGTCCTCTGGTTTAGTCAAATCTAAGTTAGCCTTGCAGATCCATTCGACCAAATATTAAAGGGAATCCAGTTATAACTTTCTAAGGAAATCTGATAAGCAATCATGAGTTGTTTCATCTACAAACACATGAAAGTTGATGTGAATTTGTTCATCGAGTATACAAGTTAAAACAGGGGAGCGAGGTTGAAGAGAATATTCGAGTACTTGGAATACCTTCTGAAACAAATTCCACTAAATCTGCACAGCGAATAACAAAATTAAAACTTCTAAAACATTTTATTGATGAGCATTGTAATCCTTCTCAAAATGATCTAGCATTTTCCATTACATAGCTAACAAGAAAAAAGCTCTAATTAAGTCATTGCAGTTCATAGACAAAATTTTCGTTCTGCAGATTTTTTGCATTCTGTAAATGTGAACCATTTATAATTTATACATTGAGTTATAAAAAAATCAAGAGGTTCATCATGCTTACAAAACTGTCACTTATATATTTTATTTCATGCTGATATCAAATAAAACACACCGACAATCACAGCATCTTGTTAATTATACAAGTAGTTAAGTGTTTACTTGCAAGTTATATTAAACTCTTTTACCATTAATCTAAGATTGTTTTGGGCTAATAAGTTTTAATCTCAGTCAACAAAAACAAAAAAAAAAACTTTTCTCTAGTACCCAAAAGCTAAGAGCTATTTTTTTATTTCAAAACTTGGAGCCAAATATGTTTATCATTTACAAGCTTTCATTAGCTGTTATAAGGTGATAAAAATTTTATAGATCACATTAGCTTTTAATTCCATTCTTGTTTGCTTCTTAGATCGTTCATCTCAAAATTTGAAGGAAGGATTTACATACACAACACTTCATTCTTATGTATTTTCATTTCTAACACCTAACTTCATTTTTTTACATGCATGCCATCCTACCTAGGCATGCAAGCGTAAAGAGTGTGCTTGGTAGCACTCGTCTATGAAGTTCAAACGTATTGGCAGTTTAGGGGAACATAAATCTTATGCAAGCTGGTTCAGGATTGAATAATAACATTGTCAGGATATAAGATGGCAACACTGAGAAAAATAAAGAAAAAAATTTTCTATTTTTAATGAAAACAACTGATTTTGAAAGCTATAACATTCGCAAAATATTAGAATTACCAATATAAGAAGTTTGCTAGCATGATTTTTGTTTGATCTGTATAAAATTTAAACAAAATTTAGTCCGCAAAATGATCAGAGAAAATTTTTTCTGCATCTTCATAAAGAATGGTAACCAGGATTACTCCATGAATTAGGGGTGTAAGAAAGTGACCCGGCATGCCAACTCGACTCGAACTTGACTAAAAAAATCCGGATTCGTGTTAATCCGAATAATTTTGGGTTGACTTAAGATTAGGAATCCTAGTCCGTTTAACTTTTCGAGTTGAGTTTGAGTTGACCTGACAGCCCAAAATTGACTTAGAATAGATCCGCCAACTAAAAATTGACCCAATGTTGACCCAAATAGCTATTATGCTTTATGTTAAACATGTTACAAAAGTGGGTACGGTTCACCAAGTTGAGGGTGGTTGAATTCGAGTTTGATTTTCTGAAATGTTTAGCATTAGGGTCGGGTCAAACTCGAACTCGACCCCCGAAACAGATTTGACACCCCCACCATGAATACGGCACAAGAGGTTCCTAAGCTGAAAACATATAGGCAAGAATTGTTGACCTGCCTTCAAGCAATTGGTTCTGGGTTGGATTCTGTTGGAGCAAGGCCGCGGATTTTCACATCATAGTACACTTCTTCGACTCGTCGCAAATCATATTTCATGCCTATTATATAAATTAAAGAGAAGGAAATAAATAATCTCATTATATACAAGTATACTTTCAATTTACAGATAATTTAATAGGCAAAAATTTATTGTAATTTACCGTCAAATTTCTTACGCAGGAAGTCATTGCGAAGGTTAAGCATCCTAAAAGCTGAGTGCAGCTCCGTTAGAAACTTCAGCAAATTTCTCGGGCAGTCATAGTCACCAGCAGTGACTTGATTGACCACATATCTGGGCTGAAAAAGAAATGTAAATACATGTATGAAAAAAATAGTAGAGCATAATAACAAATACTACATGAGGAAATACATAGCTTGGCAAAATTATCTTAAATATGTCTACAGATATATAAAAAGCTTACTTTCTAGTTCAGATAAATACATCAAAATATTCTCAAATTTAAAAAAATGATAGAGAAGTTGACCCAATTAGCAAACTTAAACATTTCATGAAATCTCACCAAAATGACTTGCAGGTTTGTTTCAACTGCATCTCAACACTCAGAAGTTTGCTAACTACTTTCTTGCACATCAAGTTCAGAAATCTCCTCCGTCTCAAACCTATTTAGTAGTGGAAATCTACTTTCTGGCATTATTAGAACTTTCATAGAACATGATGATTTTAGCCGATATAACAATGCTGCTTCTTGTATCATATTATTTTGATCGTCCCAAAAACAAATACCAAAAATCATCAATTTCACATAAAATAAATAACATTTCATGAAATTAGGGTTTAATTTAATCCTACAAATATAATGCATAAGAAAGACATCCAAAAACACTTTAAAAGAATAACCTTTTTGCAAAACCAAACATTTTTTTTTTATTTCTATCCAGCTCTTCCACCTTCTAAAATTATCAAATACAACATAATTACTTTCCAAAACTAAATACATGCATTTTTTATGGGGTTAGCAATGAAAGTAGCATGTAGATCGAGTGTCCTAGGGATGTACTAGTGACAATACTAGAACATTGATATAATAAGCCCTAACTTTTAAGGTGAGCTTCCATTTCAACTTCGAAAAGTTTGGCCTTCCCCTATCATTTTAGAATACAACCTTCACAAAATAAAAAATAAATAAATAAAATAAAACCGAAAAGCTTTCTTTTTAATATAAAATTGTCATCCATTTCTCACTAGCATGTTTTAACTTGCAATGTCATGAGCACAAATAGGTGTTCAAATCTATTGCCGCTCAGTTAAAAATATTAAAATTTGCATCGTCATTTTTTATGTACGTGCCATCACCTTAATACCTTGGGTTATCTTGCAAGTGCTAGTTTTGAAAATCGAGTTTGAATTCCAATCCAAGCCTTAAATAGTATCACAATTTGAGATTGCATATAATATCAATGATAATTTTGATTTTATATCACCAATTCCATAATAGATAAGGCTCAACAGTAATAAGATAGACTTCTCAGATACTAGTAGAATTGTTTGATATAAGTCCTAACGTGAAGTGAGGAAAAAGAAAAAACATTTTGAATCCAATATTCATGACTCATAGGCCCATATTGCAAAATTAACCAACTTTTCTTTATTTTGACAAACCCCTTTCGCAAGCATGCATTTTCATGTGCCTAGCATTTCCACATTGTCAGCATACATTGTTGTGCTTATAAACTGACTAATTTGAATGTCGTGATTCTTAGTAATTCTGCCTCTACCTTTAATTTTTAAGATGAGACTTTTACTCTTCACTCTGGCTCTCAACAATGATCAAAATAAACACAAAGCATGAACTTTATCATCAAAAGTAATTTCAACTGAACTCAATTTAATTATGGCAAAGCTAAATTCAGTGATATGTTACCACCCTAAGTGCGAGAAAATATCATTTGATATATCTTATTTATCAAAACAATATGACTCTCGATCTCCCAATCCTTATTTAAAAAGGCATTAAAGGGATACATGTTACGACCTGACACGAAGCTCGGAATTAACCAAGGCGGGAACAGACGGTTAGATGTTGAAATTAACATTTCATTTACTTTCCTTACATTATCATAACTTCTAATTTATAAGAGTCTCTAAGAAATTACAAAGTACACTACACAGAAAATTAGATCATTTAGAAAAAGCAATATAGTCTGCAAGTAAAACATCTCAAACCAACACTACAGTATATCACTACTCAGAAGTAAACAATACAATAATTACAATCATAATACACAACATACTATCCATCAATAATAGTCCTCATGTAAACGATGTCTCGTCTGTCAGTCAGATCAATCTAATAATTTTCTAAAATTAATCATTAATTTTCAAGAATAAGACACTACTAGGTGAGCAATTATAACCTTTTTATGCAATAAAATAGAATGAAAATGCTATGCATGAATGCCCCAAGAAAATGCACTCTATTGGAGAATCAAACTGTAAGCTTTCATTTTTAATTTAATCATTTGAGTTTCAATTTAAGTATTTACCATTTTTAACCTCTATAAGGTCATATTAGAATTATTGTCATATTCCAAAATATCCTCAAAATTATATTTGTATGTACCCTCAAAATTTGCACCCGAATGTATAACTTTATCATTTTCATTTCCTTTTTCATGCACGGGATACATCGTATCCCATGTCAGTATCATCTAGGAGAAAACGTGTATGACTTAAGCCTTTACATTTCATTTCTTTTAAATATCTCCTTTTAAAGTCATTAAAACATCATTTTTCTTTTTTTTATCATTTCATTTCATTCATTTCAATGACTCTTCAACATGCATATAATTATAAAAGCAGATATCTGAAGCAATATTGAAAATCTTTATTTAATAAAACATCAACTTAATACATATAATAAAGTGATTACTCACCTTAATATTTAAGTGACATCTGTAAAAGTTTATTCTTCCACTTCACTTCCTCATACTCTCAGCTATATCAACTAAAAGAGAAAGTGTAAGGATTTTAAATTTCCTTTGATTCTGGTCACAGATTCTAAGTCTAAAGAAATTCAATATACTTTTAAAGACATTTAATTAAATCAACTTACATAATAAATGCATATCTCTCACCTCCAATTCACTAGTCAATCTTTTATTAATCACAAATTTGAATAGTTTTTTTCCACACTTCTTAATTGAATAAAATTTAATAAAATTAATTTAACTAATTATATCATTTATTCTAATAATAATAATTCAATAATACATATAAGAGGTAATTTCTCGCCTTAACCTTTAAGTGACCTTCTATAAAAGTTTATACCACCACTTCACATCCTTTTACTCTCACATCTATCAATTAAAAGTAGAAATGTAAGGATTTTAAAATTTCTTTCGATTCTAATCACAGATTCTAAGTTAAGAAAAATTCAATATATTTAATGTCATTTTATTAAATTAACTTATATAATAAATGCACAACCCTTACCTCCACCTCACTATATCATCAATATTTTACCAATCTCAAATCCAAATAACTTTTTTCCACACTTCTTAATTAAATAAAATTTAATATAACCAATTATATCATTTATTCTAATAACAATAATAACATTAACAATTATCATATAAATTCCTCAGACCAATCTCCTTTCTTACTTGCATGCTTTTCTTTCTTGTGTAAAATCAATAATTTATGACTCCAAAACTTGCATTCCTTGATTTATGATTTTTGAAATAAATTAACAAACATTAACTTTAATGCCTAGAGCATTGATATAATCCATAAAACTTATATTAAATTAAAATTGCCTAAGTAAAAATTTCCAAATCTCACCTTCTTCAATCCCGACTCGGTTCAGCCCCTTACATGCATGAGTTCTTACCGCATGCGAGGCTTCGCTTCCCCCTTTATTCTTCGCACCAAAGTAGCTCTAACATGCAACTAGGGCTCCAGCTCCTATTCTCTACTACTTCACACAGTATCAACGCACTAAGCTACCTTCCATTCTTCCGTCGAGCGTTCGGTCCAACTCCACTACCGTATGCGCTCCTCCGTCCTTCGAGCACGGCTCAAATTCAGCATTGCATGACGAGCCGATCTCTTCTCCCCTCCTTTTTGGTTGGGGTTTCCTCCTTCGACTAAAAAAATGTTGAAGCCTCCCGAACATGCAAGTGACGACTTCTGCCCTTCCTCATATTTCTTCTTCTTCCCTCTTCATTCTCTTCTATATCAGCTAAAGCGCACACAAAGTTTTTCTTCCCACTACCATATGCTCTCCTCCCTTTTTCGAGCATGGCTCAAATTCAGCATTGCATGATGAGTCAATCTCTTCTCCCCTCCTTTTTGGTCGGGGTGTAAGTGGTGACTTATTCCCTTCCTCATATTTCTTCTTCTTCTTTCTTCATTCTCTTCTATATCAGCTAGAGCGTTGTTGACCTCATTTTGAGGTCATTTCTCCTCTTCTTAGATCCTAGGATCTAGCTCTATGGTTTCTTATTTTCTATCTTAGAGGATTAGAGCTGGACCTACCCCTTTAGAAATTCGAACCACTTCCCAATTCTCTTGTGGTGTCTCGTCTGAGTGGTCTCAAACCATCACCATTTGATCGAGTGGCTGTGTTCACAGACCATCATCATTTAGTCCAGTGGTAAAAGACCACCATGTGGACGCCCAAAGAGAGATCCCGTAGGGTTTAAAAGTCTTAGGACACATATAATGACTTTAGTACATCCACACACACAAATACCACAATTCGCATCACCTACACCTGTAAAAACTTCACAATTAATCAGAACATAAGTCAATTTTTTAAATAACCGATAAAGAACCCAAAATTTGAAGACAAATCGAATTTGACGCATTTTTTACCCGATCGTCGACGAGTTTGTCCGGACGACCCCGGATGACGAAACGGACTGCGTCGGCAAGTCTAGAACATTAATTTTACCTAAGAATGACACCCATATTGTTATAATTCCACAGACAAATAAATTGCACGCAAATCGATGAACTTGTCCGAACGACCTCGAATCATGAAACAGACTGCATTGGCGCGTCCGAAACGTCAAAATTACCAGGAAAAGACATCTATTTGCTAGGGTTCAGAGCACGCATAAATCACACGCTTATTAATATACTTAAATAATAAAATATAATAAAATAAAACAAAATAATAATAAATAAAAAAAAATCCCACTTAACCCCTGCTCATGCATGCAGACTTGCGACTGCCCTAGCTTCTGCGCTGCTCTCCCGCTCGCGATTCTTCACGTCCGAGCCCGATTCTTCCTCTCCCGCAATTGACCGCACTCGGGCGTGACCTAGCTTG